CTCAGACCTTTTTGTATTCATGTATACCCTATATTCCCAAAAAATTCAGACTTTCATGGGGATGTTGAGGACACTAATATAGTGAATGATGACGTCATCGAGGATCTCTATAATTGGTCGAAATTCGTTCATTTATCTATTTCTGTGTAAATTCATAAGTTTCAAAATTTTCGATTGCCCGAGGCTAAATAAGCCAACGAGCTGCTAAACTTTTATTCTGGACCACTGCGGCGTGGCTTGAAAACCCGCCCACCGGGTCGTCGCTTCCCTACTTAGCCACGTCTTGTTCCCTCCGCGATATTTCTTTTGTCCTCCCCCGGGCGGTGTACACCTCTCCTGACCTTCTTTCTTCTCCACCCCCACGGTTTTCGGTCTGAGAAATAATTTAATTCGTATTACGCTGCGAAGCCAAGAAGCGGGACCTCCTCTCGCCGCTTCAACATGTAGATGTGTTTCGCATTTGAAATCGCGAGAAGAAAAAGAGGAATTCGGCCGGTGGCGGCTCTTTTCGCGCGGTTGAGAAAGAAGCAACGGCCCGGGGAACGGAAAGGATGGTTGCGTTTTCTTACACAAAAGGAAAGGCTTTTGATGGCCACTGTAGTTGAGAAGAGGACGCTTCCATGTGACAAAAATGGACAGGAGAATGTATTTTTTCAGCGGGAATTCTCTTTGATCTTGGAGCTTACTTTACTGTGAAGAACAAGATTTTACTTGGTTTTCTTTATTTATTTAACCCTCCGTGACCCCCGTTGTTTTTACCGATTCCGTCACCCCATGAGTTTTTTATGTCCAGACTGACTTCTTTTTGCTTTATAGGCTGTTCCAAAAAATTTGGAAAAATTCAGGGATACTTCTTAGGGTCTCTAGTACTCGATCCAATAGTTTTTAAAGTTAAATGTTAAAAGGTTTTTTTTAATAACAGTCCCTTCTGTTATGAAAGACTCAAGGGGGTCACGGAAGGTTATACAGCGAAGGGGTAGGTGTAGTGTATGAATAGACAGCAGTGATACAAGGTACAATATAATTACAGTGGAAGTGATAGGAAAATATATAAAAGTGATATGTGCTTCAATAGAAATGTCGAAACACTCTCGATCCTTCGCATTGGAGTATGATTTTTATTATACAGTTGGAACTTTAAATGGAAGGTAATTAGGGAGACAGAAGAAATGGATGGGGAGATTTTTAGCTTTAAAAACTGTTTCCAGTTCGTCGGTCCGGCAAATACGATGGACAAGGAGGGTAAATTAATTAACGGGGCAAATTATTTTTCGATAGTCACCGTTTCTCGGTGGGGAGGCTGAATAATCAATTCCCATCAAATTGACTCGGTTCAAGCGACGATCAGCAAAATTATACCGATCATATATTTACGAGCGACCAGCCACCTTTCCTACGACAGCTATTATGGGATTTTCGTTAATAAGTTATGGTAATTAATTACCAAACACCTGCGTAGCGAATGCACGGAGGGATCATCGTGGCGACTTCTCAGTTTATCACCACGCGATGAAATTATAAAAGTAAGTTCGGAGAGATGGACCACGAAGCAAGGCTTGATCAAGTAATTCCCCCTTAAACGGGAACGATTGAAAAATTTAAACGGAACCTTTCTGCGAAAGTTGATGAAGCGAAAATAATTAATGAATTCCGGCGGAGTTGCCGCGCTCGTAGGGATACAGAATCGATAGTACTTATGTACTGTATTATACACGGCGCATGTATAATAAGCCGGGTGTACTTAGCGTAGACAGTGTAGAGATTACATTCTACTTTCCGGTTTAACCATGCAGGGCACACATACGATTAAAGATTCTCGGTTGAATGGTAGGTCTTGCCGTGAACTTCTAATCGATTCATCTTTCATTAAACCCATCTGTTTGCCGCCTCTATAAAACTATATACCGTTTATCGACTTTCTTACGATTAACACTAGAACTACTTTCTCAGATTTGCATCTTTTATTACCATATGAAAGTAAAGAAATTAGTCAATTTCTAAATTTCTAAATTTTCAGAAGTTTTTCATGTTTATCCACCGATCGAAGCAAATATCGTCGGTAGTTCTACTGTTAAACGACAGAACCGTATAGGGGATACCAGGGACAAAGGTAACAATTTGTCTTCTTGTGTCTGTAACTTCTAAATTTTAGAGAATTTAAAAAAAAAATCGTACACGATGATAATTGGGCCACTATACAGAGAAATGCACGATACGAAAGGGAAATATTTTTCTCGGTCTGACGGCGATTCCTCGTTTTCTCACGGAAGAAATAAGGGTTGGTCCGCCGCCGCGCCATTTGGATTCAGTAACCCCCGTGAACGGCGCAAGTTTTCCACACTTCGTACTTTTACCCTGCCTCCGCTGACAATCGAATTACCGGAGGTGCGCGCAAGATTTATCGAAAATGACGAGGGCAGTTTCTCAACAGATTAGATTACAGTCGAGAGAACGAACGGGGGGTGGCCGAACCATATTCACGTCAACGTCCCGCGGAGGAAAACACACGGACACGCCGTGGTAACGGGCCGAAACTTTTATCGCGTGAAGAATTGCCCATAAAAGATGCAAGCCGAGCAGCAACTAGAGATCCTCTTTGCCACGAGACTGTTTTTCCCGTTTAGAAAGTTTCCGGCGACCTGATGTGAATTGGATGGCGGCTTGAATCAAATAAAGTGGATTTCATCCCTTTTTACCTTCTCCCGCGTTATATCGTTTCACCCTTGGACGGAATGATTCGAAGCATATGGCCGAAATAGTATGTATGGTCTGACATATGTCTGCCAGATTTTGAATACCTTCTCTTGGATACTCTCTGTGTGAAATACTGAAGCACTTAAGGGGAACCTGGCGTAAACAGCTAAACATGAACGAATCTTTAGGAAATAATTGTGAAGAAAGTATTAAACCAATCTCTTTGAAACTTTGAGAATACTTTGTTGTACAATTAAACTGAATACAAACATTTTTATTTTCACGACACATTCATAAATATTATTGTTATAAGAGACTCGAGAAGACAAGTTGTTACGTTTGTCCCTGGTTTCCCCTACACGGTTCTGTCGTCTAATCGGGGGAAATCCCTTTATCTAGATACTGAATTTACCCATCTCTGTTCTAGGGTGGGTTGTAAGAATGACGATCGTAAGATAGAGCTATAAATCTACAGAAAAAGATAAGAATCAATAAGTTTCCAGAAATTATAATATCTAACTTCGAGTGGCGTATAAAGAGAAAAATAGCCCACCGCAAGACAGAAATGGCACGAGTATGTCCGAGGGGTGGTAGCATAAAGCATGTGGCAACCGTACGTCTTCGGAATAATTAAACACCTGGGTGGGTATATACGCGTGCTTCTCGGTTGGAACGCAGCTAGATTACCCTCGTAAAATCTGTCTCCTTCAGTGTATGTGTGCGGTTTGCTTAATAAATGAATGGCCCCACATTCACTGAAAATAGTCCATCATTCGTGTGTGTAGAGACACGACGCGTAGGAGGAAGGGGATGGTGGCGAATTTAGTACGGACAGGGATCCTCGAAAATCCTCTGAAGCCTTTGTGACCTACCGTTCAATCAGACTCGATCAATAACCCTAAGAACGCCAGTCACCATAGCGTATTCGATTAATATAGTCGTGTAATTCCGAGTACTTTACAACCCTACGTCCAATATCTTGGACTACTCCTTTTGTATGAATGTTCGATTGGAATAATTCGGGGGTAACTTGATTTGCTAGCAACCTCGGCCAAGACTACTAGAAATTGAGCATTTTATAAAGCTTCTGTGATTCAGGTATACCGATGCACGGGTTTCTTTAAAATAAGGCTAATACCAGATTACGGTATAAATAATTCATGAACACATCCCACGACTGTGTGTTCGTTCGTTTCGGTGCTTTCTGGAAAAATTCCATTTTGAAAAAGTGTCGAATGAAAACTAAAGGTGCTAAATAATATTATGTTCCAAACTAAGACGATTTTTAGGTTAAACCACAAAATTATTAAATGAAGCTCCACCCGATTTGTATTTATTACTTTAAAATGTATGTACGTACCAAACGATGCTCGGAAAATCACGGTGCCATCCTATTTCCCGATGATTGATAAACCCGTGAAAAGTCACACACGAAAAAGACCTTTTGTCAGCCAGCGAGGCGCCACACTTTCTCATCTTCTTTTTCATTCCGTGCCGGTAACGTACGAAGTTCCGTTCACCTGAAGTTTCCCCGGTGTCGTGGTTCCGTTCCAATTCCTAAGACAAACGACTGTTCCGATTTTCTTGGATGTTCTGGTACACGCAGTTTCATCGGCTCTGTTTCACAGACTGCAGGAGGGTGCAAAAGACATCGCGAAAAATATTTCGAGGTCTCAAAATCGAACGCCATTACGATCCATCACTCGATACCGATCTCCATCCAGGCGGTTTCAATTATGTAATCGCCTTGGAATTTCCGGAAAAAGACGCAGACAGACGGTATCGCGAATATTCGCGGCACGAAAGTTAAATTGAAACCGGTCGCGGCGAAAAGCCGCTTACGCGACATATAACTCGCGAATAGATCCCAGACCGGGCCCCCTTTTGTTCCCCGTAATAGAAAGTTTTTTGTTTCATTGTTTGCCGAGCCACGTGGTACATCGAAAAAACTGCATATCGCCCATTTTCCGGTCCCTTCGGCCTCATGACCGGCACGGCAGAGGGAAAAAAGCTTTTTCTTTGTTACGAAACGCATTTTCACGGAACAGTTTGCCTAACGAAATAGAATCCACGAAAAGCTTTTTTTGCCCCCTCCTGTTCAATTATTTAGACGCGACAGGGAGCTATAGAACTGATCGATGGTCGTTAATTTCCGCTGTCAATATTCGTAGCGTGATCGGTGGCCCGCTATATCCAGGAATAAATTCTTTATTACTTATCCGTCTAATGGTCCTTATCTAATTCGCGTGTTTCAGAACATTCCTTTGGCAAAGTGACGCTCAAAGCAGTAATCGATTTTTCGCTCCTGTCTAAGTTAAGGGTAAGTCTGAATTTGTACATTTAGAAATTTTTATGATATCGACTGTACTTGTCTAGATCTAGAACTGTAGGTATTCGAATATTCGGATATCAAATTCGAATTTTACTGCTATTCGAATAATTCGAATATTTATAACAGCCCTATTTGTAGCTATTTTGAATAAAAGTTGGTAGAGCTGATGTACACCTGAATATGGATCAAAGTGGAGGATTAACGATGATAATAAAAGAAATGTTCTCAGTTCTTTGTGTACCCGTAGAATTGCCTGGGGAATCTAAGGTTTCGATTTGTTCAAGCAAGTTCGCTTCTTTTGGTAACCGGTGCCGTTTTCTTTCCTCGAAACAATTAAGTTGATAAATTTCCAAGTTTTCCTTCTACTAGATGGAGCCGAGGGATTTGTATTTTGTTCTACCTTGCTGCGTTTCGCTTTTACTTCTCGCTTCCTGTTCGACAAGGCAAATTGTTTCTGTAAACAGAACAGCAAACCGTTTGCCGTGGAAAACTTAAAAAAGGGCCACAATTCTGCCTTGGCTATTCGCGTGAAGCGCTCTGGATACTGGAATAAAGTTGTGCTCGTTGAAACACAAGCAAAATTTTTAAAATAAAGCTCCTTCTTGCAACCCAAGAAGTGCCTTCTCTCTCCTAATATAGAAGTTCGCCAGTTTCCGAGGATTTTGCCAAAAATTCGTACACGATCATAAAACCAGAACGAGATTTCATTTACATTGAACACTCACACGGTTGAATATCGTTTGAAACATTGTTATTGATACGCGATTAATTAAATGATGAATGAATTGGTTAAACAAATTGGTCACAGTCCATTAGGTAACAGGAAAATCTTTCGTGTTGAATAAATATGTATTCGGGGTTCGCTCGCTAAACACAGTGGATTATTAATACACTCGAATTGGTAAAAGCTCGACTACGTCAGCAGAAGTTTATGAGTCATTTAACAATAGAGCACAAACCGTGCGCAACAGTGGCGCTAATCTAATAGTCAGGACCAAACGCATGGAAGTTTAAATACAACAAATTCTCGTATGAAAATTAAAAGCACCAAATTATCATTCAATATTCATTCGAAATAAATTAATCCTTACGATAAATTTATTATTTATCTAGAATTGACGAACCCAATACAATGAATAATTACAATACTTATAACGTCATAAGATTGTTCCTTTCATATTAAATTCACCCTTTTCCGAAATGAAATTATAAAGTATCTACATCCACCTGTAACAGAGTGTACTGACACGTTTCGAATCGTTTGGGGACGTATTCTATTCCCCTGTGGTATCTTAACTTTTCTGGAAAATAATTACGGTAAAAGTGGAAACGGCCCGGTTATCGTCGACGGTAAAAACAATCCGCGAAATAATTTCGTCTCACCCAATATCTCGATCGGTGAACGGAAATGTACCCCTCCGATACACCATTCGAATTCTGAATATTTCCGTGAATCAAAAGTTTCTCATTTGCGCGCGCTACGCTTAATAGACTGGCGCGCTCTAACCGTGACGTTGAAAGATCAAAGAATCGCGCGAACAGAAAAAAAAAACGCGCCCCTTCACCCCTTCCCCCCTCCCGTGCCACGGCTCTTTGAAAAATAAATTTTGCTCCTAGCCACTCATTACGGAAAAAAAAGAGGAGAATGTTCCTTTAAGACAGGGCTGGGAACTTTTCACGGTGCACTCAGTTAGAGGGGAATAATTAAAGAGGACGGAAATAAATTGCAACGAATTGTGCGTCGGGAATATCGGGAGATGAGTTTACGGAAATATGAATATTAAATCGTGGTTCGATTAGGTATTACGAGGGAATAATAAATTGCAACGTCTCACCTATTATAAACGTTTTTGGACACCTTTGTCGTAGTGTTCTCAAGTCGTGAATTCAAATTCCCATTAGCGACTCCCGGGGCTTGGACGAAATCCTTCGGCTTAATTTCATTCACGATTCAATATCGACAGCGGATACGCTGTCAAGGATGAAAAATTCACGAAAGAAAATCTGGCTGCGTAATCAAGGAAGAAGGGGAATTCCAAGAATTAATCCGGTACATATCGGACGGGGAACACATTTTTAACGAGCTTTCGATCGACGTGCTTCCAAGACCGTACAGTTGGTACACTCTAAAAATTCCATCCTCGCGATCTGCTCTCCCGCGGATGATTTACACAATCGTTCGACTTATGTGAAAAGTTTACGCAATTTCGTGGCCGCGACACGCGTCGCCTGTAAATATTCTGGAAATTCGAAACTTCCACAGACGTACATAAGGTAGTGTCGCCTGGCTACGTCGAAAGTTGGGTAAAAGTGGCGGCATTTAGACCACCGTTTCGATATCGGAAGGAGGATAAACTACATTCGGTCTCGCCAACGGATATACCTTTCGTTTACCGCGTGAAACTTTTTGCCCTTTTTCGATCGACATTCTCCATTAACCCTATCATTCCCAAATCATTTAACAACCCCCAAAAAACTTCTTTTTGCATTTTTGTCTACATTACATGACACATAAATGATTCATAAAATATTTTTAACATTTTGAAAGCATTTAGTGCCCTTTTTCATTCGTTGCCATTTGGCATCTTTCTTTTTATTTCTATCACAATTATGTATAATAATTGACATTATACTGTTATTACACGTAATAAAAGCAATTTTTCTTACCTTTGATCAATGAACCCACTTGAAATAGATTGAAAACAAATTAGAGTTTTATCAAAAATACACGATAGTAAATCTTTTATTTTCCAATTTAAAATACGTTACCATACGGTTACAATGGGAACGAAAGGGTTAATGAAAGTGGAGCCTTGACCGTGGGTGAACCTGGAAAACGGACTTTCACGTGATACAGGGGTTCCGATACGGGGGAATTACATTTTGCGACAAAGAACACCGGGGGCAGCACCCAGGAAAACGGGGTAACGATTTCCAATAGAATCTTAACGAGATAGATAGTAATGGGGGTGTTCCATTACGTCACGTGTACCCGACAGGCAGGCACTTCTTATCCCGCCATGTTATTCGCGACGCTTGATTGCTCTCCCATTTGCATTCATAATCGTCGCTGAAAGAAAACGCGAAGGCCCGCTAATCATCCGACGAACCTCAGTCTCTGCCGTGGAAACTAGACATTAAGGGGAGAAGATTTCACGGAGAGATTAAAAGAAGTCCCCCTCCCACCCCTGCACCCGTTTATTGCGTTCATTTTGTCGTTCCTACGATTATCGTTCACCGTCCAGCCGACGTTGCAACAGAGCG